GATTGACATTGTTGCAAGTTTTTTTCGGCAAAGATAAGAAGACCAACCTTCGACAAGTTTTAACTTTTTCCACATAAATACATTTCAAGCAGCTATGAAGATCCCAGATCCTCTTTTCTGGCAGGCTGTGGTAATAGGAAAACAAACAAAACAAACAAAGCAGATTCCAGTCAATCATTCACTCGATAAGAATCACTGAGGTGTTGAGGTACTAGATTCTTTCTCGACCCCATCTCCGAGCACGACTATCAAGTAAATCCTACAAAAAACGTAAAAAGAAATCATTAGTAAATCAAAACAGAAAAGAAAGACAAGTGATGAAAATTGAGAAAAAAAAATCAAGCTCACCATGATCATAAATTTAATTCGAGAAGTAGGAGGTTGAGCAATAGAAATTTGATTTAACCTTTGAATAAATTGTTCAAATCTAAGTGGTTTAGGATCTCTTTGATCTAACTTTGACCCGACTTTCATCATCAATGCACAAACACATTCGATATCCGATTCGATTGGATCATTAACTTCAACCAAAAGTTTGGTACAACAAATATCTATAATCTTAGCTGCTACTATATTCAATTTAAATAATTCACCAATCAATTTGATTAATCCAATCATTTGTCGTTTTTTCTTTTGGTCTTGATAATATTCTTCTGTAAATTCTTGTAAGATTTCATTTGATTTTTCAATGTTTTCTTCTTTGCTTGAGTTTTTCTTCTTGGATTCATCATGGTTTGTAGGCCAAGTGGATTGAAATGAAGTTTGACATTGATCAAGTAAATACTTTCGATAAATTAATTCTTGATCTTCTTCTTTGATCACATTCCAAGCTTTACGATGTTGGATGGGTTTAGCAACACTATCAAAGATCCGCTTAACTAATTCTGCATAAAGATCAACAAAAGTATGTTCGTCTAATGATTTTTTAAAGATCAAATTGAAGATCAGTTTAGCTAATTCATCTTGTTTTGAATCTTTTGATACATTAATGATCTCTAAGATTTGATCTGATATAGATTGAAAGTTCTTCAACGTCAGTTTGTTGAGTAAGGCTGTTGCTTTTCTTTTTGTTTTTTTAATTTCATCTTCTTCATCTACTTGAGACCATACTTGTTTTGGAGCTACCTCACGTCGAGCTTCGCGATTAACCGGACTTCTGTAGTCTGTACGAGGTTTGTAACCAGTTGGATCCCGCCAAGAGGCAGAGTTAAGACTCTGTTGAGCAGAATTATAGACTGGATTTGTATGTGATGGTGTATTGACATGTGATGGATGTGATAATAATGGCCTTGGAGTGGTATTGGTGACTCCAGATTGGCTTGGGAGAGGTTCTTGAGTTAGGGGACCAGGACCTCTTCGCCAATTGTTGAAATCACGAGTGGATTGAGTTTTCGACATGTTGGAAAATGATTCGCGTGTGGACTGGGATGAGATAAAGTGTTTATAAGTGTTGAAGGCGTGTAAGGTTCAGCAAGTGTTTTATACAATTGAGTGGAGTAATAAGTTGATGTGATCCGGAAAAGTGAGATCGGAGAGAGATATATAAATTGGTTATTACTACGAAAATGAAAATGGTTTAAATGAGAGGATGAGGCTTAAAGTCTTCTTGGATGAAGGGGTTTGCTTTTATATATGTTCAACAGCTCTCAGTCAATCATTCTACCAAAGCTCAACGCTATAGTAAAAGTTTAGTCAAAACAATGAAAAGTCAACATCCGTACATTTGAGTTGACTTTTCGGGCCAGTGAATTGACTGAGGGAAAGCACTCTTTGGAGCGGTGTGCTTTCTTTTACTTTAGATCGAAACCCATTCAAAGATGCTGCTGATCGAGATTCAAGGATGAGGTCATGAACAGTTCTCGATGCCCTGTTCTGGGAGCGTAAAGGGAAGCTGGCAAGTAAGCTGAATGGTACTCAGAGAGGGTGACTTCGTCGTTTATTGGGTACTGAGCAATTCTCAACCATCCAAATGACAAAAGCTTTGATCAAGATCAGTCAGAACTTGTCTTATTTTCACTTTTCCTGAAAAGGTATATGGCACAAGAAAGGTGCTTTTATGTTCACTTCTCTTATACCTTTCTTGTCAAAGCTCACCCTATGAGATCACTGCCTACTGTAAAAAAAACCCCCGATGTCGCTCCCTAACAATGGGTCAAGAAACGGGCCCTCTTGTTCGCTTTGCTTACATAGGCTTTTGTCGATTTGGACGGGTACGTGGTTCTCATGTGGATCATTCTATCTTACCGGCTCTGTGAATCAAGACCCGGGCTGATTAAGACAAGACACAAATCTTCAAGTAAATTGTGCTATATTTTCCAATCCATGACTGAAATGTCGAACATGGAATTCGATAAGTTAACCTGAATGATGAAACACCAAGTTTGATTCTACCCAATACAAACTTGTAGGCTTTGTTCTTACTGAGAAATATTCAATATTTATTCATTTCACATCATCGGTTTTATGAGACGGGGGTCGTCTTTCATCATTCTGCGAGAATTCGTAGTAGCTGTTGTTCATTGGGCAGTATACAACGTCGCGTATAGACTCTGACTCTAGACGCGTGTGTAAAGGCGTCATCAATGAATTTTGAGATAAGTTTTGTAACTCCAATACTCATAATAATATCAGACTTCTTGCGACCTTGAACTACCCGCATGCGTCTTTATTTACCAAACATATTTCCTTCACCATGTGGATCTGGTTATCAAGAGATACAAGAGAAGAAACCTTTTCTTTCTTCCAAGAAAAAAAAACAAAACCACAAACAAAAAAGTAATTCAAAATGAGATTATAATATGACTTGAAAAAGGAAACACGAGGTATAAATGGAATGAAAAACTTTAAAAACCAACAAACGAGATACTGAAAGTCGTTTACTGTGATTGTTTTTTGAAGAGTGACTCAGGGACATGAACCGATCATGGTCCCTAGGACTCAGGAGTCAGGTTCTAGAAATGAGAATAGGTAAGGAGTCATCGTGACGTCGCGTGGACGAACGTCGTGTAAGCCTTGATTCTCAGTGTCAGCACTTGCTGTGCTCTTTACCCTTTTCGAGTTCTACCTCTTTACCATCTCTTCATCCCAAGGAGGCTTAATTCCCTCGAGTTGATTCCATAAAGCATGGAGGACTGCCTCACTCCGTTTTCTTGTTATTGATCTCTATCGTTGGATGCTTATCTTTGATATTGTTGAATATTGTCCCACCCACCTCTCCCTGTATCTTGTGATGTTTTGGCCGCCCCTTAGTGGACCTTTTGTTTAAAGCCTTGAGTTGTTGCTCATATCTATTCCGGTTGATATTTGTACTTATTGCGGGCTCCACGCCCCGATTCTGGCTAAACCCCGCACATCGTGAGTTTAGCATAGGACACCTCAAGCACCCAAACCTATTCTAGGACAACACTGAATCGATGAATAAATCAACTGTCTGTCTTAACTTCAAAGTTCAAGGTCTGAGCTAACTACACCACGGGGCAATCGTTGAGCCGAAAGCTGAGCTCAAAAGTGGTCGTGTCCAAAAACCGGTCAAACGCTGGCCGAAAGCTGAAGTTTCGGTCAGATCTCGACGGTCAGGTGAGACCGGCTATTTTCTGGCCGAAACCTGAGCTTTCGGCTTGGAAAAAGCCAGTCATTTGGCTGGTCGATGTGGCGGTAAATCGATCAGCCTTATGGCTGTCAAAAGATAGCCCAAAACCGAGCATCCGGCCAGCTTTTGAAACGTTCAAAAAGCTGGCCTTGAGACAGTCAAACAGACGGCCGAAAGCTCGGTATCGATTCCGATGGCCAGACTCCATGGCCATGGAATCTTTCCATCATCAATTGATGATGGAAGCCATGGTCAGCTCGAGACATGACCTGGCTCATTAAATGCACCATAATTGATATACATCGGTATCAATTTTACTCCAGGTGATGAGCACCAAGAGAGCTCGATTTCGGCCTTGTGTGTAAAAATTCAAAACTGGCTTCGGTTTGTCTTTTGCAAGACGGGTGATAAAAATAGAACAGCTGCCAGAACTTCAGCAAAGTTTGACAGGAAAGATACAGAGGGGAAAGGGTTCAAACTTATCTGTGAGCCTAACTTAACAAAGTCCCTCCGAGGCTTGACACCCTGTCAATCAACAAGTTGAATCATGAATGTCTGCACCGG